GAAGGAGCACAAGAAGGACAAGCAGCACAAGCGGGAGAAGAAGGAGAAGGACAAGGAGCAGCACGTCGTCGTCAACCCGCTCTTGTCGCACTCCGGCCCCGTCGTCGTTTCGCCCCGAACGTCATCGGCGTGAACGAACGAACAAAATGAATGATTGTATTTGCTTGCTAGATTGATGGTTGTTTGTGGGCTCAGTTGAGGGTTTGGTACTGGCCTCTCTTGACCAGAAAGCACACCAACCCCACAACGACGACGAGCAACACGGCCGAGGAGCCGCCCAGCGCGGCCATCACGATGACGGTCCACAGCGGCGGCTTGTCGTCGTCGCTGTCGCACGGCTTCGGTGTGGGCGAGGGCGAGGGCGAGGTCGAGGAGGTCATGTTGAGCACGGTGAAGGCGTGAAACTCCACGTCGCTGTTGAGGTGGAGGGTGACCAGACCCGTGGCACAGCAGGCGCCGAGCGCGCAGCTGGGCGTGCGCGCGACCACTTGCTCCAGCCCGGAGCACGACGCGTTGTTGTAGAAGAGGACGGTGAAGTTGAACCCCTCGGCGGTGTCGCTGGCGATGGGCTCGAGGGAGAAGGCGGCGAAGTTCTCGTTCTGGTACTGGCCGGCTGTCGCAAAGCAGGTCTGGAAGCCGTAGTAGCAGTGGGGGCAGCTGTCCTTGGGGCAGAAGAAGCCCATCCAAGGGGATGCTGCCGTAGTGGTCCGCACAGCCACGGCCAGCAGCACCAACATGATCGCAAAACGGAGGCCTGACATGGTGTGTTTGCCTGAGCTGGAAAAAATGGAGTATGAGTGGTTAGCCTTGGGAAACCGGAACAATGCTGCTCGGACTTAAAAAAGCCCAATGGCGAGAGCTGAATGTGGGCTTAGACATTCTTTATGCGAGAATACGGAATGTTGGGCTCAACCGTGGGACCAAATATACAGCGCACCTGCGAACGGGACAAAACGGAGCAGAGGAGACGAAAGAGGCTCAGGGCCGTTTGTATTTGCTGGGCAGTGTGACAGATTGAGAGATTGATGATTGTTTGTGGACTCAGTTGAGGGTTTGGTACTGGCCTCTCTTGACCAGACAGCACACCAGCCCCACAACGACGACGAGCAACACGGCCGAGGAGCCGCCCAGCGCGGCCATCACGATGACGGTCCACAGCGGCGGCTTGTCGTCGTCGCTGTCGCACGGCTTCGGTGTGGGCGAGGGCGAGGTCCAGGAGTTCATGTTGGCCACTCTGAATGCGTGAAACTCCCAATTGCTGCCGAGGGTGATCTGACCCGTGGCACAGCAGGCGCCGAGCGCGCAGCTGGGCGTGCGCGCGACCACTTGCTCCAGCCCGGAGCACGACGCGTTGTTGTAGAAGAGGACGGTGAAGTTGAACCCCTCGGCGGTGTCGCTGGCGATGGCCTCGAGGGAGAAGGCGGTGAAGTTCTCGTTCTGGTACTGGCCGTCCTTTGAAAAGCAGGTCTGGTAGTCGAAGCCGTAGAAGCAGTGGGGGCAGCTGGCGGGGCAGAAGAAGGCCCTCCAGGGGGCCGATGCCGAGGTGGTCCGAACAGCCACGGCCAGCAGCGCCAACAGGATCGCAAAACGGAGGCCAGACATGTGTTTGCAGGGAGCTGGAAAGAGGAGTATGTTAGCTATGAGAAACAAAAAACTAATATCTCGGACTTAGGCAGCCAGTAGCGGACAAAAGAATGGGGCAAGACAATTCGCAAGAGAATGCTAGGAATGTGGGGGCAAAAATGGCGCCAAAAAACAGAACGCACAAACGAACACGGGACAAGATGGAGCAGAGGAGACGAAAGAGGCTCAGCGTGGCCGTTTCGTTTCAGGAGAGGACCTATGTAGAGGAGGAGCATGATGATGAGGAAGGAGTAGGCCAGAAGGAGAATGTGCCACCAAAGCCGAGGAACGCCAAACCGAACGTTTCCTTTGATCGCAAAAAATCAATCGTTCAATTCAAGGAGAACGATGACGCCGTTGAGAAGCGCAATCGCCGCAAATCGAGGATCATGATGGAGGAGGCCCTTGGAGGTACATCCTTCCCTGACTCTCGTCCGTTTAGGAATCTCATTGCCATTTGTCCACAGGCTCTCCACTCTCACCCCAGAAGGGTAAAGCGGCACCGCCACGGCAGAGCCTGGCGGCAGGTGGCGGCGGACTTCTGAGGCGTAAGAGCCTGCTGCCTCGCATCCACCTCCCCAAGACCCAGCTCATTGAGCTCTACTCCGAATGCATTCGCCTCAGTGCCGAGAACGTACGCCCCGCCGCTTCCATAGCTGCCTGAGGCTGGCAAGCTGACGTTGAGCTCGACGCATTGTACGGTGGTGTGCCGTGTATTATGTGTTGCGTTGCGTTGTGTCTTGTGTACACACAGAAAATCAATCAGAAGAACTCTTGGTCGCTCGACCTGATCGACCACATCGACGACGTGCTGCAGAGCAACTTCAACAGCGAGGAGGGTAGCGGGGTGGGCAACTTCCAGGCGGCAAGCTGCACGCTGGACGCCAGCGTCAAGATCTATTCGTACCGGGTGGACTCCATCCACAACGAGACGTATAGAGTCCTGGGTGACCTCTCGCTCACCCGAAACGGCAAGAAGTCAAAGCGTGCGCACCCTTCACTTGGTGTACGTGATGAACGTGTGCATCACGTGAGTTCATATAGGTTGCGGGAATGACTGTCTCCACTTTACAGACGACGACGCGGACGAAGGAGCGGATGAAGAGGGCAACGAGTCCCAGGCCCAGGGGAAGAAAGGCGCCGGTGCGAGGAGGAAGAGGCGCACCCGCGTCGACACCATCGAGAAGAACCCAGCGTCGCTCCTGGTCGAGGAGTTGGGATTCGGGCTGGGGCTCGACCCGCTCTTCCGCAAGCTGAGCTCGGGGTTCGACGAAAACGGAGCCCAGGGGCTGCTGCTCAACCAGCTGCCCATAAATCGACATGCAGAGGTGCGCACCCTTCATTTACAGTCTCGGTCTCTCCTCTTAGGTTCCTGCTTACAAGTGTGCGTTACGTTTTCCGCCTTCTTAAGGTCGTGCTGGACTCAACCGCCACGTTCATGTCCTCCAACGACGTGGATTCCGCCGAAGACGAAGGGGGCGAAGGGGGCTCATCTGCTCACGGGCTCTACTCGCTGCCGGCCGATCTCGTTCGGTCGCTGCAGCGCTCGCTTCGCGACGCCGCCGTGCTGTGCCCTCCGCTGTCCGAACAGCAGCCTGACGAGGCCGATGACCAGGAGGAGTTCGAGCCCGTCGCCTTCGAGCTGGACGCGTCAGAGGCCGATGCGCAGACGAACACGCACGACAATCCCAGCGAGGGCGAGGGCCTCCTGCGCACGCTGGGCCTCCACAGCTTGGCTCCGACCGCGCCGGACTTGGCCGACCACGATCCGAACGCGTGGGGCGACGACGATATCGGATATGACGGCGCCGAGGCGTCTCTCGACGACAGCCAAATAGGAAGCGACGCGTTCCACAGCAATCCACCACTCGTACAGACCTTGGCCCCCAAACACTACCATACGCACGACGCACACGACGCACACACATCTCACTGACATTTATTTCAGACAACTCAGGAGCGGATAGCGGGGGATCTGGGGGACCTGGGCGCGGGTATGAAGGGCCTGCGAGATGGCGGCGGCGGCGGAGCCTTGGCGAGCGACCTGGCATCGCTGGTCGGCACGCTCCAGCTGGGCGCGTCGGGCTGGGCCGGCCCATCGCACTGGAAGTACAAGCCCGCCAAGGCCGGTACGCATAAATGCGCTCACCGTAGAAACATCTCTGGCTGGCTGTTGTGTGCTAACTTGGCCCCACCCTGCACAGTTGTGGTGAGGGCCAAGACGGAGACTGGACAGGAGGAGAACGGCGAGGAAGAAGAAGAGGAAGAGGAAGAAGAGCGCGCTTCGGCCAACAAGAAGGGGAAGAAGAAGGCGGCCTTCTTCATCGACTTCAGCGCGCCGCCCATCGACACCAAGGTGGCCTTTGCCACCACCCGTGCGGCCACCACTCTCTCCCAGGCCGTTCTCAAAAAAGCCAAAGAGGAGGTACGCACCCGCACTCACCGCACCGCATGATCGCACACACTCACGACCGCACACGCACGCAACACAACGTTTAAGAGAACTCTTGAGAGTACTTACAATAATGGCGTGGTGTAGGACTACCTATTGCCCCGAGACGTCAAGTACGACTACCGAGCCCTGTGCTCCTACTTTCTCCACCCGACTCGCACCATTGGCTCCCCGCTGGTCTCCTCTGGTACCTCCCCACCCAACGCCCTTCAAGTTGCTGTCGCCCGCTCACTCTTGCGGCCCGGCGCGAACAACGTAGCACTTCTCGGAGGAGCGGCGCTGTACAGCAACATCGCGGCCAACCAACCGTTTGATGTCCCGGCTCCGGCGACGCACGAGGACGTGAATATGGATGTGGACACGGATATGGACCTGGACATTGGCGGCAGTGACATGGACGACGCCGAAGAGAATTACGTCGCGGTACGGATTGTCTCTCCTGCTTGGGAGAACAACGAGTGTGATAGATGGCGCTGACGTGTGTGGTGGTGGGTCTCAAGCAGGAGACTGACCTGCATTCGGCCAACGATGATCCAGCAACGCATGCGCAGGATGCCGCCGCCGCCGGAGAAGTGGGCGAGGACAAGCTGGAGCTGGTGGAACAGCCGCGAAAGATCAACAGCGAGGCCATCTCATATGCCCGCGTGGCCAAGAAGATCGACGTCATTGCCCTCAAGCGCGCCCTCTCCCATCAGATCACGTCGTCATCTGTACGTCACCTAACCGCTTCTGCTGGCCTCTTATTCACGTTATTGATTTATTCATTTGTTTTGTTTTGTTTGTTTGTTTAACTTGTTGGACTTTAGGCACAGCCGCAAGAGAAGGAAGGAGTCTCGTTCAAGAGCCTCCTCCACAAGCTTCCCTCGCGCATCAAGGACAAGCGCACCCTGGAAGATCTCTCCGTGCAGGCACGACACCACCGCACACAGAAACGTACACCTAAAGGAATCACCGTGTTGCTCACGAGCCATGTGCGCAGGTGTGCTTCATCACGCTGCTCCACCTGGCGAACGAGCACGACTTCGAGATCAGCGCCGCGTCCTTGGGGGGACTCAACGACGATGACGATGATGAAGATGACGGCGATTCTCTGGCCTACCCCACCGACTATCTCGTTCACGTGCCAGAGCGGCAGTAGAACGAGAACAGTGTGCATCACACACGACAGACCAATGAACATATACGAGAGAGGAGGCGCGGAAGTTGTGAAGAGTGGTTCTTCTCCATTAGCTCCGTGGTATGTGCCAGGCGTGGATGGCACGACTAGAGGGTGGAGGAGGAGGAGGAGGTGTGGGTGGGCGGCCGGCGAGCCGAGGCCGTGGCAATGTAGTGGGTGGTCTTGGCTCGGGCCAGGGGCCTGTCGTTGGTGTAGAACTGGGTTTGCACGAAGGCCAGCGTGTCTCCGTGTCGCCTCATCCTGCCATGGACCACCACCAATACCATCAACACTGAGCGTGGCCAGACCATAGAAGGACGCACCTGGACTCGATGCGGACGGTGGAGGGAGCCTGTAGAGCCGACTGTACGGAGAGTTTCATGTCCAGCATCGATCCTGGAGTCATGTGGCTTGGGGGGGAGACACAAAAAAAGGGTGTGAGACACCAGCGTGGAAGCACTCTCGGAGAGTATGCCCTGGGGCGTAGTGAGATCGTACTCATAAATATGAGAGATCAAGGAGGAGCCGGTCATGTCGGCCAGGGCGCCGAACATGCCGTGTCTGAGATGACCCACAAGCCAGAAGAGAAGAGGAAGAGGTGAGTAAGTGCATGGGGGTGCTTTTTCCAAACGTGGGCACCACCCCTACCTGAAGAACCCGCCGGAGAGTACGGACAGATCATCGTTCACGTCCAGCACATACCGGATGGACCTCTCCATTTCGTCCAGCGCCTGTGCCCACGCTCATAGTTTACACAGTGCCGCTACACAAAAGTGCATGCCCAGCAGGTGGTACCTCCATGCGCATGTTGTTGAAGAGGAGGTCCTCGAAGGACTCGTAGGGGTGCTCCACAACGGCCTACACCACAAGAACACGAACGCCCCCGTCAGGATGCCTCAGGGTTTGTGTAGAGAGGGGGGGGGCGGTGAACTCGCATGAGGAGGGCATACGGAGGAGTACTCCTCGGCTTCTTCTACGGTCGGCAGCTGGTCCATGAGCTTGGTGGCCTTGTTTGCAGGTTGGTGGTGGGTCTCTGTCTCTGTTTGGGCTGCTCCTTCCTCGGTGGTCGCCTCCTCGGCTTTTCTCTGTGTCGCGAGAACAGGTCAGGCCACCCTGCACTCCACCACAACTCAGCAAGCAGGGCGCAGTGCGAACCTTTTTGGAAGACACGGTGGGCGGAAGTGTGCGTGTGTGGGTGAAGTGTGGCAAGTGTGCAGAGAGGAGTACGGAGTGTGTTGTGGGAGTCTGCGCTTGGTCCAGTTTTGATGGCTTTCTTCGTTTTTCCGTCTGACTTTCGCCGCACATCGGCGGAAAATCAGCGTCGACAAACTGTCGTCAACTATTCGAATTCTTGGCGTGCCTTTCATCGTGTCGACTGCAATTTTTTATTCTTTTAGGTGATTTTGTTTGGCTCCATCTCGATTCGGAATCGATCGCGTACCACAAGGGTAGCTGTTGAAGGCTTCTCGCCCTGTGGGCCTACGACCTGGATTGAATCTCAGGCGAGTTGTAAATCAATCGAACGTTGCTACGAATTAATTTTGTAGAGAAGAGAAAAAATGCAAATGCGAAAGCGAATGAAGGAGGCCCAGGAGGAGGACCTGAGCTTCCTGCACTCGACGACGCCGCTGACGCCACCGCTCGCCCCCTCCGAAGAGAGGAGGGTGGTGAAGACCCTGCTGGACGATCAGGAGGCGGTCAAGATGACCGTCGGGGCCACCTACTACGTTGTCAACTTCAAGTGGTGGCAGCTGTGGCAGCACTACGTGGGCTGGAACGAAGGCAACAGTGACGACGACGGCGGCACTGAGGGACACCACCATGGTACCGAGGCTGCCAGCCATCACGCGGCCCGACAGAGGCCCGGACCCATCGACAACACCGAACTCTTGGAGGACGGCAGCGCCACCGTCAAGGGTACTCCATTTATTTATATTATATTATATTGTTTTATTTTATTTATATTATTTGTCTATCTCCTGTTCTATTGCATCTTTTATTATTATTATTATTTCTTTTTAACAATTAAAAACATTTTTTGCGCAGGGCCAGGCGAGGAGTCGGACAGCGGAGAGGACAGCGAGGAGGAAGAGGAGCGGAAGAGCAACGGGGGTGCGGCCGGCGCGAAGAAGGCGAGCAAGCAGCCGCAGGAGGAGTCTCTGCGCAGAGGGCTGGTCAAAGACGTGGACTACACGCTCTTCCCCTCCTCTGTCTTCAGGCACATCTACTCATGGTAAGCGCTTCGCCCTCTTGCTTCACCTCTACTTCATTGTGTGCGTATGTGCGTGCGTGTGCGTGCGTGTGCGTGCGTGTGCGTGCGTGTGCGTGCGTGTGCGTGCGCTAACACGTTCATGTGCAGGTATGGGTGTTCGCCGGTTGTTGGACGCAAGGTGATCACTGTGGGCATATTCCAGAAGCTGCAGGTATGCCTTTGATGACTTCACAGACGGCTGCGGTGGTGGAACTTTGTAAGATTGATGGTAATCGTCGCGCCACACACAACAGGTCGAGCTGCATCCCATAGTCCTGCTGTGCTGCAACAAGGCAGCGACCACGCACGCACGTACGAGTCGCAAGTCCCAAGGCGAGCTGGAGAAGTGCTATACTTTCATACTTTCATTTTTTGAAACTCAATCCTCTTCTGTCTGCTGCATGCAGAGTCGGACTCGCCCTCGTATAAGATGGAGGAGCACCGGTTCAGTCTCACGGCCGCGCTGAAGGACGTGCGCCGATACGTGGCCGGCCAGTACATGATCCCACCGCACAAGGTACGACCCCTATCAATCAATCGATTGTACTCAGTACTCGCACAGTACTCGCTGCCCCAGTCCTAGCCCTGTATTGACTGTGGACGACGATCGTGCAGAGCAAGCTCTACCTGGCGGTGGACAACAGCATGCAGAACCTGCGGTTGCTCGAAGAGTCAGCCCTCGGCCAGACCCTGGAGGACTTGGGCATCGCAAGCGGGCAGATCCTCGTGCTGCAGAGCCACGGCATCGATATCGGCGATCGCTCCTACACTTCGTATTCCTCCGGCAGCAGCCGGCCGAGTACGTATCAGACCGCGATTCGAATCGTGCGCGTATCGTGCACAATGCGCCGCACTCATGCAAAGAGTGATGCGGTGGTGGTGGGTGGTGGTGCAATCCAGGCAGCTGGAACTACTCGCCGGTGGGCAATGCCGTGGGCAAACCGCTGGCGCGTGGCGCAACGGGGCTGCACAATTTGGGCAACACGTGCTTCATGAACTCTGCCCTTCAGTGCCTGTCCAACACCACCCCGCTGCTCCGGTTCTTCCTGAACAACGCACACCTTGCGGAGATCAACCCGACCAACCCGCTGGGGATGAAGGGCGAGCTGGCAAAGAAGGTACGGCGGCATATCTGTGCGAGCTGTTCCTCGCTAGGAATGCAAGGAATGTCCAGGGTTTCGTTTCAGTTTGGAGCTGATCGGCGATGATCGTTGTTTTTACTGTGTTACAGTTCGGAGAGCTGCTCGTGAACCTATGGAGCGGCAAGTACACCACGGTGGTGCCCAGGGAATTCAAGAGCGTGCTCTCCAAGTTTGCGCCCCAGTTTGCCGGTATACATTCTCCCCACGACGTGAAGGACATGCACTGCCGTTTTTTGTACCGCGGCCGGCCCAGCAGACTGACCAGAGACCGCGTGTGGCTCAATTTTCCATCTTTGCTTTCCTTCGCTCGCACAGGCTATCAGCAGCACGACTCGCAAGAACTGCTTTCATTTGTGCTCGATGGCATCCACGAAGATTTGAACCGGTACGTGTCCTTAACTCGTCTGCGCTCATGAGAGTGTCTTGAATGAATTAACACACACGCACGCACACACACACACGCACACACACGCACACGCACACGACAGGATTATCCAGAAGCCGTACACTGAGAAACTAGAGTTCGAGAACTCGGATAACAATGATGCACAGGCTCAAAGTGCGCCTCACCTCTTCAAACGCTCTTTCGCTTTCTCTAACGCTGCGACCCCGTGCGTGTGCGATGCCGTGTCGACGCGTTTCGTAGTGTCGTGGGACACGCACCTGATGCGTAACAACTCGGTCGTGGTGGACCACTTCCACGGGCAGCTGAAGTCGACCGTGGTGTGCCAACACTGCGGCCACGTCTCGCTCACATTTGACCCCTTCGTCTTCCTTTCCCTGCCTGTGCCCTCTAAGAATCAGGTGTGCTGCTCTTCCCCCCAAACTCAATTTCATTCTTTGTCTTCGCTCTTCGTTCTTCTTTCGCTTCGAAGCACTAACGCGCAAGCTCGCATGAGCGCGCAGCGTATCATCAACGTGGTGCTCTTCTGGCGTGACCGCAACCCAGTCAAATACGGCGTGCGAGTATCCAAAATGGGCACCATCAAAGACCTCAAGGTACCCCATTGCTCGCTCTCGTCTCAATGTGTGAAGCTAATGTGTGACGATGTGTCTCAGGACCGGCTCGCTCGATTGGTCGACGTTGGACCCGAGCGGTTGGTCATGGCAGAGATCTATACCTTCCGTCCGTTCAAGATTCCCGACGCCAAGCCCCTCTTCGACATCCGCTCCTCTGATCTCATCTTTGCGTACCTTGGCCCACCCCTTCGCTTTCCCGTTTCGCTTCCTCCCTTTCGCTTTTCATTTTTCAGTACTCATTAATTCTTCTCTCTTTCTTTCTCGTATCGGGCAGGTACGAGGTGATTCCGCCGGGAGCCGAAGTGATGGTCCCGGAGAGGGAGACCAAGGCCGCGGCCGTGTCACCAACGGCCAAGGCCACCGAGCCCATGGACGTCGTTACCGAGGCACAGCCGCAGCAGGAGTCGGCCCCAGCGCCGCAACCAGCCCCAGCGAGCACGCCGTCGGCGCCCACGTTCAAATTCGTCAACCAGATCGCACACGTGCCGGTGTTCCATCGCAGGTTCTACTCGCCCAAGAAGTTCGACCTGTTCGGCCGGCCTCTCATCCTGTCGTTCGACCGCACCACGACCACCCACAACCAGCTTCACCACATGATCTTTGAGCGCGTCGCCAGGTAAGCTTGATTGCTCCGCCTTCGTCGTGTCTGTGTGTCGTGTGTGTGTCGTGTGTGTCGTGTGTGTCGTGTGTGTCGTGTGTGTCGTGTGTGTGTCGTGTGTTTTAAATGAAGCTAAGCTCGAGAATGATTGGTAGGTATGTGGCGCTCGATCTGCCCAGTCTCAACCTGTCGCTCGTGGACGCCATGGTACGCACGCGCCGCGCGCTTTGTTCGCCGGCTGGGTGTCAATGACTGAGGTAATGTGATACCCGTAGGGCTACGGGCTGGGACACTCCGTTCCGCGCGATGATGCGCTGTTTGAGTTCGATGACGGCAACGTCGGCATCGCCATCGACTGGGACAAGGATGTCCTCAACAACATTCCTGTCAACAAGAAGGTACGCCCTGCTAGCGTGGTATCAATCGATTGCTTGTGTGGTCAATCCGCGCTCACGTGCGTGAGTGTGCGTGTGCGTGCGTGATGTGCGTGTGCGTGTGCGTGTGCGTGTGCGTGTGCGTGTGCGTGTGCGTGTGCGTGTGCGTGTGCGTGTGCGGTGTCTCTAGGAATTCGAGGAACACGAGTCGTTGAAGAAGACCGAGGCGGACGAGGAGCTGTGCGTCTCGCTGGACGACTGCCTGCGGATGTTCACCGCCGATGAGCTGCTGGAGGACGGCAGCCCTTGGTATTGCTCCGTGTGCAAGGCCACGGGGGGGTCGGCACAGAAGCGAATAGACGTGTGGAAGTGTCCGCCGGTGCTCATCGTCCACCTCAAGCGATTCCAGTACACCCACGTGTTCCGGTACTACCAGCTTACTCCGCACCGTGGCGCGGTCCACACACACACTCACACAACACACCACACACACACGCAATACACACACACACACAGTCTCACAGCACTGTCTCACTGTCTCCCTCCCCACACACAGGGACAAGGTAGGCACGAAGGTCGACTTTCCGGTGACGGGACTCGACCTGTCACCCTACGTCAACCAACTCGACCCAGCAAAGCCGCCCATCTACGACCTCTATGCCGTCTCCGTACGATGACCCCGACCAGTCCATCTGGTGGCGCGAGTCTTTTTCTTTTTGTTATGTGCGGTCGTGCGGTCGTGCGGTCGAAATAACTAACCAATCGATGTTTGGGTCTCTGTGATGGGTGGTTTCCTAGAATCACATCGGCTCGCTTGGGTCGGGGCACTACACGGCGTTCACCAAGAACCCGAAGACCAAGACGTGGTTCAAGATGAGCGACAGCACCGTCGTGAAAGTGGAGAAAGAGGAGAACGTCATCACCGAGTCCGCGTACATGCTTTTCTATGTTAACAGGTAACACATACGATACACGACACACGACACACGACACGACACCACACACGACACACGACACACGACACACGACACACGACACACACTGATGATTTGTGTTGGCAGAGCGTTCCACGAGCAACAGGGGCTGGACGACATTGAGATGTGGATCGGGGAGGAGGCCAAAGCGGAGGCGAACGACGGCCGAAGCAGCGGCAGCGCCGCGGCGGTCGATGACGGCGCCAGCACCAGTGACATCAGCAATGCCGCCCCCGCCACTGCCACCGCCGACCGGATGGAGGTGGTGGCACCGCTCAGGCCCAAGGCCAAGGAGGCCGAGAACGCGCAGCTCGGCTCGGCCGGGGCGTGGGACGACGGCTCCGGCGAACGTGACAGCCCGCGCGGCGCGCCAGCGCGCGGAAGGACCAACAGCGACGGCAACATCGGCGAGGGCCTGCAGATGGACGTGTTTCGGATGTGGAACGACGGCATCGACAGCGAGCGACGCGCCGAGGGCGACACCGGCACTTTGAGCGCCACCGGTGGGTGTGGCATGCGCGACGCGCACCACGCGTGGGGCGACTTCATGGGCACGCACAGGGACGAGCGGGTGATGGACCTCGTGATGAACCACCAGCGTACCAACACGACCGCGGACCAGGGCCGAGGCGGCGGCGGCAACAACGGACGTCCGGGCGGTGGCCGAGCGCAGCTGCGGTCGTCCCTCTACGTCTGCCCCAAGTGCGACGAGCGACTGCCCTCGCTCGACGACCTTCAGGTACTCACCACACGACAATGCACGGCAACACAACACACACACGACACACAACGCTGGGCCAGTCGGGTCTCACACCATCAACAACAACTCTCAGGTGCATGTGCTCTGTAATCACCCGGACTCAGAAGACCTGCTCGCTGTCTTCTGCGGCTGAACGTGTGCCACTCGACGTTCTTCGCACATTTTTATTTGGTTGGCGAACAACTTCAGTTCAACAAGAAACAAAACCAATACAGAGGCAATGGCCATGGAGACGCTGGCGGACGAGCTGGTGCTGTACATCTTTCGTTTCTGTGGGGCCAGGGATGTGGCAGCGCTGGAGGCCACCTGCCTCCGCCTGGCCAGCCTGGCCCGCGACGACCTCCTGTGGCGCCACCTGTTCCGGGGCTGGTTCCGCCACCACGCCCAACAGCAAGAAGCCGCCGCAGCTGCTGACTCGGGGGCTGCCGACCCCTTTCACGCCCTGGGCCTGCACCGGATGGACTGGCCCCGCGTCCGCTCGGCCGTGGTGGTGGCGACGAACCAAGACAAAGACGAAGAAGATGAAGAGCCCGCCGTGCCCCGCAAGGCTGCCCTTGTGCTCGACACCGAACCCCAGGCCAGCTTCATGCTCGGCGGGCGTAGACCCTTTCGCCCCAAGCACTTTGAAAAAGGTATTTTCATTATTCATTAATTATTAATTATCTGTGCGGATAAATAAAAGAAAACCTTTGTACGATACTTTTTTGATTTCTTTTTGAAGTGGAGCTCTACGATGACTGGCGAAGCTGCTACAAGGCGCATGTGCAACCGCCGGACGTCGGCGAGAAGGTCAGACGACTCATGGAGGGGCGCCTGGTGTCGCCCCGCACCCTGAGCGCCATCCTCCGCCAGGCCGCGGCCGTGCTCGAGAAGGAGCCCAACCTGCTGCACCTCCGATCGCCCATCACCGTGGTCGGCGACCTGCACGGCCAGCTGCTCGACCTCCTCGACCTCTTCCTCATCAGTACGTTGCTCCTTGCTCATCGCTCTGTCGTTGATGTTGTTCTGACGCACCACACACACACACACACGACACACGACACACACACACACACGACACACGACACACGACACTGGGAAGATGGTGAGCCGCCGGACGTGAACTACCTGTTCCTGGGCAACTGGGGCGACAGGGGCGACTACGGCGTGGAGACGGTGACGCTGCTGCTGGCCCTCAAGGCGGCCTACCCCGACCGCGTGCACCTCCTCCGCGGCAAGCACGAGACGCGGCCCATCACCCAGGTGTACGGCCTCTACGACGACTGCGCCCGGAAGTACCACTCGGGCGCGAACGTGTGGACCGCGCTCATGCACGTGTTCGACCGCCTGCCCCTGGCCGCGGTGGTCGACGACAAGGTGTTCTGCGTGAGCTCCGGGCTCAGCCCCGAGCTCCAAACCCTCGCACAGATCGACGACCTCCACCGGTGCGTTCTTCGTTTCGTTCTTCGTTCTTCGTTCTTCGTTCTTCGTTTCGTTCTTTCCGCTGCTGATGTGTGTCAGGTGCCGGGAGGTCCCCTACGAGGGCCCCATGTGTGATCTCGTCTATTCAATCCCCGACGTCGCCTCGTGTGCGCAACCCCCGTTAGACCCCGACTGGCGAGTGAGCCCGCAGGGCGCCGGCTGGCGCTTCGGTCCCAGTGCGTGTGATCCGCCCCCCCCCCTGCGCCGTTAGTCAACCCGCCCAACTCTTGCGTGCGACTGACCAGAGGCCTTTTTTTCCCCGCTTTTACTGGGCTATCAGGGGCGACTCAGGCGTGGCTGGCTGCCAATCACCTGGAGCTCATGGTCACCGAGCACAATTACCGCGACGAGGTGCACGCCGTGTGATTGGATTGCGCTTGATTGATGCTTGATGATTGTTGCGGCTTATAGGGAGCTGATGAGCAACATTCGGGCTGGCGGTGGTGATCAATGTGGATTGTTTGACAACAGGGCTATCAGATTCTCCACGGTGGTAAGCTGGTGACCGTGTATGGCGCGGCCAACTACTGCGAACGGAGCCCCAACGTGGCCGCCTGCTTCACCATTCAGGAGGACGGCAACCACTACATGTACGACACACGACACACACGCCAACACACGCACCACCGCACACACGACACACGACGCACACACAGCACACAGCACACTCACGGGTCACTGACAAGTGACGGTCAGCACCCAATATGGCCCGGCTCCCCGTGTGGCCACGCCCGTCAAGCGAGAGAGCCTGCTCCGAAGGTACTTTGGCCTTCTTCGGCGGAGGGATTGTGTGTTGTGGACAAGAAGCCGACTTGTGACCCGTGTGAGTGCCCTCCCCCCCCCCAATGCAGCCGCTTCAAGGCCCCGCCGCCGGGAACGACAGGCGGCGCCCCGAGCCTGACCGAAGTGGTGAACGTCATCCCGTTCCCTCCCGCCCCAAGCTCACCTTGAGCCCAAGCCTCAGACGCTGGCCACCACAACAACGTGTTTCATTTCCAGCATGCGCGTGTGTCGTGCGCATGTGTCGTGTGTGTTGTCGTGTCGTGTCGTGCTTGATAAGGCACTCACTTGTGCTTGGAGAGGAGGTAGATAGCAACGGCCGCGTCGACCACGAAGAAGAGACCGTCGGGCAAGGTGATCTGGGGACCCAGCGCCCTCTTGGCCACTCCCTGCCAGTGCATGGCCAGGTCGATCGCGAACTGAGAGAAGTTGGCCAGCGAGAGCACCCAGAAGTCGTTCGACTGGAGAACGCCGCCGTTGCGGTACCGCACAAGGGCCAACAGCGCCAGCAAGCTGAACCCCGTATTGATGCCGCCTGCAAGTTGTGGCCAAACATTTATTTATTATAAGATTTATATTTCTTATGATTATAAGGAGTCCTATTATTTATTTGATTGATAATGGTGGCGTAAGTTGAGGGGGTACGTGCCAAGGTAGCGGACGAGGTGGGCGTGGGTGGGGGTGGGGGTGAAGTTGAAATACTTCTTGAGGATGCCCATGGGGCGACACAGGAAGTAGTACGCGGCCGCACCGTGCCACGCAGCGTTCAGGCCCAGCAGCACTACTGGCCAAGTCGGCCTTGGAGCACTCACTGATGCATCGGACATGCTGGTGGGGTTGTAAAGTTGTTGGCTGGTGCTGTTTGTCTGCTTTCTTTATTTCTTCAGTTCTGGCGTAACGACGTTTCCCAAAGCAAGCCAGTGGCCGTCGAGCACAACCAACATACTACTGTCATGACACGTGCCCTTGGTGTGTAACTCGAGTCTTTTATTCGCCAAGCGGAGGAGGCGCCAAGAGTTGGGTTCAAGGTGATCCCGATCGGGACCAAGATGATTCGCTTTAGATCATGTTGCGCCAAGGGATGGACAGACGCAGGGCCGTGTAGATGATGGCTGTGGTCGTGATGGCATGCGGGAAGTTACCCCACAGCTCCCTTTGTTTTGTTTGTTCGCGGTGAGCACACACACACACACACACACACACACGGCAGTGAGCACACGACGCGACATCGAGTTGTGTTGTGACGCAGAAAGCATACCTGGTCTTGGGGTCGATGGTCTCGCCCACGGTGCCGCAGCCGTTGCAGCAGGAGAGCACCTCCTCGAAGAGGTTGCGGGACTCCTCCACGCGGCCGGTGCTGTACAGGGCGTTGATGTACCACACGGTGTAGAGGATGTAGCAGTTGCCCTTGTGCTGCGGGGCCGACAGCAGGAACGGGTGCTCCTTGGACACGAGGTGCTTCTCCACCGCCCTGCATTGGCGCGCGCACACACACACACACACACACACACACACACACACAAAGCGTCGATAGGCGTTAGCGGTGGCGCTGCGAGGGGCAAAGGGACATGCAGAGCGCGGGAGGCGCATGTGTACTTGATGGTGTCGATGAACTGAGGGTCGTCGGGAGCCAAGAAGCCGATTTCGGACAGCAACAGGACTTGGGGAGTAATTTCTGCGTGGAAACAACCGACAACGACGACGACGAACATCATCATCAGCACCGCAATAGATCATTCATTGCAGGAGGAGACTGTACGCTTGCAGGCAGAATCGGAGCAGAAGTGGTTGTCCTTGTCGTTCCAGTAGGTGGTCAGGATGAAGGCCCTGACTTCATCGGCCGCCCGTTGCCAGAACTGCTCCTTCTGCGTCGAGCCCAGCTTGGTGGCGATCTTGGCTGTTGAGGCCAAACAAACGTTGAAAAGGTCAGCAACAGTCGGCCACGAGCTCGAGGGAGGCAGCTCGAATCCAAGGACTGATCAATGGGATGGGTGGATGGTAGCGTACAGAGCCTGTCGCAGCCGGCCCAGCACATCACGGTGTGGTTGATGTTGAGCGTGCCATTCGCTGCGGGCTTCTTGTAGTCCTGCAGAATGCGCTGGCCCAGCTTCTCGAGTCGGCCGAACAGCCTGGAACGAAGGAAAGGTTAGGTCAAGTTAAGCCTGTGCCGATACGGCAATAAAACAGAGCGTTGCGATTGGGAAGGCATTAATGAATTCATACGTGGAATCGTCGCCGGGAGTGTTGAGCCTCTGGTCGAAGAAGCACTGCGCCATGGCGAGGATGATGCTGCCGTAGGAAGCGATGGCGGGTTCTTTGAATTCCTGTTGTTCGGTGTGTGGCGACTTAGCTTGTGGCTCACAAGCCGCTCGGGCTCAAACATGTGCGGATTGGAAGGTACGTTGTTGCCCACGACCACGGGGCTCTCGCCGCGATAGCCCGAGAGTCTGTGCACCTCCTTCTGGTGGAGCAGGGTCTCCAGCGAGATGCCGTAGATGCCCTGCAGGCCAGCCTGGCTGTCCTCGTTGTCGACGAACTCGGCGACGATGTTGGAGATGAAGCTCAAGTACTGCGACATCGAGGGCGCCATGCCGAGCCTTATAATAAGGAATGTCATGAACGTTGACATCAGTCAGCTAGGCTGTGCGCCATGACGTGAAAGATAACGGTGATACGCTGTAGTTGGGTACCTGTTGAGCGTGCGGATGATGTGGGGCATGTCCTCGACTCGGCAATACCTCAGATCCTGCAGCTTGCTCTGGGCCTCGCGAGGGATCGAGGTGGTAGCCGCCGCGACGATGGCGCCGGTTTCTTGATAGGTGAGCAGCTTGAGAGTGATACAGGCGCGGATCACGTTCTCTTGCCACTCGAAGGGAATCTGTACATGTTTGATGGTGAGAAGAAGAAATGCTTGTGCAACAAAGAAGAGAATAAGAGGCACGTACCGCCAAGTAGGATACGAACTCTTCCCAGTAGGCCTGCGTCTTCTCCAGCGTGGAGATAGCGAACTCCTCGATGCCCACGGACAAGCTGAGTGGGCGCGGCGCGTAAGCTAATTCATCAATCGATTGCACGGGTGTTGCCTTCATAGCGTAGAGCAGCGATCATACCTTTCATCGGGCATGAGGATGAGGAAAATGGGGCCGTCGACCTCGAAGGCCACCTCCCGCAGCAGGTAGGAGATGGGCGCGTTGGAGGTGAGACGCAGGGTACCCGTGGGCACAAGGTAGCGGATGTGGTTGGACCCGCGGGTCTTCTCCGGGACACCCCAGCCGTAGCTGCACACACGACGGCACCACCACCACCAACCATGAGCCTCACGTATACACCAGTGAACGGGGGTGTGGACAGAGAGTCCCAAGGGGGCTCGATGCGTACCCGAAGGTCGGCCTCAGCCTGACACGGATGCGCGGCCTTCCGGTGGCGTTGAGAATGCGCATCAGCATGGTGGGTCTGTGGGAGAGAAGGCAAGAGAATGAGAGAACGGTGGGGTAAGTCTCTATCGCACGGCTGTGGCGGCCGCGGAACTGGCGCGACTTCGACCCTTCGGGCTCGAGTGGAGAACGTACCGGTAGACACGGGCAGCAGACTGGTGCAGAGGGCAGAAGTCGATCATCTCCAAGGTGTTACCTGTACACGCACAAGAACAGGATGAGCGCTGCAGTTGTGCGAGTGTGTGGAGTAGAAGCAGAAGCACCACCCGGGCGAGGCAACGTACCAAACTTGTCGTAGAGGGTGGTCTTGAGAATGGCGGTGTTCTTCACGTACTCCTGCTCGCTCCTCGCAAAGTGCTGAAGCTCGATATCGAAGAAGCCGATGTCCTTGTTCTTCCTCAGCAGGGAGCAGAACACGGGGTCGGCGTCGAAGCGCGGCATGCAGCTCCACGTGATGCTGCCCCTCTCGTCGACCAGCGCGTTGAAGGCGCTGTTTCCGATCAAGCGCAGGTTGAGGTTGTGGATGTTGGTTGGGGCCGCGGGGACGCTCTGTCCCACCTTCGACAACGTCTGTGCATCGGCAGGCACCATAGGCTTCTCCTGCGGTGTGTTTTCGTAGAGGTCCTGTTTGATTACGTTCGAGCCGCTCGTGTCCATCGTGGTTGTTGTTGCTTTGGTGGTGTTGTTGCCTGCACACAGATCGCGATTGAGTGTCAATTGTCTGAAGCAACGCACTCAGATCTTCGCACATTCAATTTCAATCGGTTGTTACCTCGATAGAGAGAAGCGTACTAGTTGGATGTAAAGCACTTGCCAACTCTGCAAGAGACAGGAAGCTAGTGACTATGTCGTGTGGTCCTGAACTCCTCGTCCTGTCGTGTAGTCAGGAGATCTGGTGGCGCAGAAGGTGAGAGATTCACACTAAAGGCACGCCAACTCTTTGTGCTCCGCAGACGAGGTGAGGCCTCATGACAGGGGCATGCGGGTCCCAAGGCCACGTCATTCGAGCACGGCAAGAGCTCTATCTCGCGTGGCTCGTTCTCCCTCTTCGTTCTTGTGAATACCGAAGAAGCTGCTCGTGCCCTTGATTTTCTTTTGTTTTCTTGGCCACCACAGGTTTCGCGCCAAAAACTTAGACAAACGAGGCGAGATGAGGGTGCGATCAAGTTTTTAGTCTTTCTGGTTCGGGCGATTTAAGGCCTCCTCGTACCTGGCGCGACGATAGTTGAATGCGCCCCAGCAATGCAGCGCTTGCTTTGCGGGTTCGATGCATCGCGCCACATCGGCAATTCCCACTCCTTGTCCGGACTGCACGCACCGAAGTAGGGCGTCGTGATGCGCGCTGCACACCTTGGGAATCATGCAGTCGATCTCGTGCTGAGTGGCGCCGGTGAGGGTGCACTCGAGGAGGCGTTGTCGCTCCTCGCTCGTCAACAGGTCATTCGGATCGGCTGTCGATGCTCCATCGCGCTGCCTGTTCTCGATCTGCGCCTTCTTCTCGAGCCCGTTCATAATCTCGAGAAGCGGCTGCTCGCATTGGCCGATGTCGCCCTTGCTCTTCATGCAGCCCATAAGTCGATCGAACTGCTGCGGTAGGACTCGCTCGCCCATGCAGAGCATGAACTGGAGCTGAAGCTTCATGCACTGCGCCTCTCCTCCCTTGACCTTCTGCTTTTCTGCTGGATTGTGCAGCTGACGGAAGCATGCATCAGCCCGCTGCCGCCACTGATGGCAGCCTGCAACGGCCGCTCCCACCTCGCCTTGGCTTCCTTCTACGTAGCTCTGCCGCACGATGGGAAGCCGCTTAACGATCTCGGCGTACGACAGCGCACTCGCCCTCTCGTCGAAGCTGCCGTCGTCGGGCTCTTCTTCGTCGCCTTCCTTTCGCTCCTTAGCCTGGAGTTCTTCGTGTGCGGCACCATTTGCTGGGTGCAGCTCATGGGCAGCAGCTTCATCTTCCTCTTTCCATCGCTCCGTCATCTTGGTGGCGCTAAATAAATCAAAAAGAAAAGGGAACAAGGAAAATTGGGTGACGCAGGGATTTGGCGTGGTAACAACCAATTGGACAAACACAACGGCAATCTGATTGACAGATAGATAGGATGCTGACTAGGCAGGCACGTCGTTGTTTCTCATCGTCTGCGGTGCTCCGCAAGACCTTGGTGCTGGCCGAACACACCAATGCGGCACTTGTTGACAGCACTCTCCCTGCCATCACCGCTGCTGCCAAGCTGGGCGACGTGGAGGTTCTTGGTATGCACCTATGCCATCACCCTTTCAATCTTGTTGGGGGGGGGGATTTAATAGAGATAATTCGCAGCCGGATTAATTTCTCTGGTGCACACCAGTCGCGGGCAAGAACTGCAAGGGCGTGGCCGAGCAGGTGTCCAAGCTGGAGGGTGTGAAGAAGGTCTTGGTGGCGGAGAACCCCGCCTACGAGCACGGGCTGGCGGAGGACCTCGCGCCCCTCGTGGCCAACTTCTCGAAGAAGGAGGAGTACACGCACATTCTGGCGCCCGCCTCGGCCTGGGGCAAGAACCTCACCCCGAGGATCGCTGGCATTCTGGACATCACCGCCCTCTCCGACGTCATCTCCATCGAGGGCCAGGACACCTTCAAGTAAGTCGCATTGTCTGTTGAGCGCATGCTGCTACACAGTCTTTCACGCGTTGTTTGTCTTGTGTTCTACGTGCGTTCACTTACGCTTGCGCGACTCGTGTACACTGACTGCAGGCGCCCGATCTACGCCGGTAATGCCATCGCCACGGTGCAGTCCGGGGAGAAGCTCAAGCTCCTCACCGTCCGTACCACCGCCTTCGAGAAGGTGCGCCTCCTCTTGTTCTTCTTGGCTTGGTTATGCCTAAAGCAACGGTAAGCAGCTGACCCTCGTGATTGGCTGCGGCGCGTGCAGGCCAAGGAGGGTTCGTCCTCGGCGGAAGTAAAGGAGATCTCGGTCGAGGGCGACGCCAACACCAAGTCCACGTGGGTCGAAGAGATGCAGCAGAAGTCTGAGCGCCCCGATCTCACCAGCGCCAACATCGTGGTGTCTGGCGGCCGAGCCCTCAAGTCCAAGGAGAACTTCAAGCTCATTGAGGACCTCGCCGACAAGCTCGGTGGCGCCGGTACAGCTACGACCGTGCTCGATGTCGCGCTATGAACACGTTCGTGTTTGCGTACTAAGCGTTCTTCTTTCCCCAGTCGGCGCTTCTCGCGCTGCCGTCGATGCCGGCTACGCTCCCAACGAGTGGCAGGTCGGCCAGACCGGTAAGGTGGTCGCCCCGCAGCTCTACCTGGCTGTCGGCATTTCAGGTACACCAGAGGCCATATTCGCCACGACCCACGCCGCACACGCCACACAGCAACTGGTTTGTTGCTCACGGGTAACCTTTGCAGGCCAAATCCAGCACTTGGCCGGCATGAAGGACAGCAAGCTCATCGTGGCCATCAACAACGCCGCCGATGCCCCCATCTTCCAGGTGTCGGACTACGGTCTCGTCCAGGATCTCTTCCAGGCTGTGCCGGAGCTCACCAAGGAGCTCGAGAAGGCCAAGCAGTGATCGGGTACTGCCACCAACAGCACACAACAATGCATTCGTTTCTTTTCGAGAGTGTGGAGAGCTTCTTCCCCAGCAGTGCGAGGGTTCTTTGTTGGGTTTCCCTAGTAGTCCAACTCCCCCTCGTCCAACTCCTCCTCGGCCTCGCTCTTCTTCTCCTCGCCCTTCTTCTCCAGCGTGGGCGCAGGTTTTTCCTCGCCCTTCTTCTCCCCCGTGAGCGTAGGTTTCTCCTCATTCTTCTCCTCTTCGCCCTTCTTCTCCCCCGTGAGCGTAGGTTTCTCCTCGTTCTTCTTTTCCTCTTTCGCTTTCTCCTTCTTCTTCTCGTCCAGTTGATCGTCCGCCTTCTGCGTTGTGGGCATGGCCTCGGGTTTAGGCTTCTTCTCCTCCTTCTCGTCGGCCTTGGGCTCGTCGCCGGCCTTTGTCGTCTCCGCCTTCATCTGGTCCTGCGCCACCAGCTGGGCCACGGCCTTGCGCAGCTGCTCCAGCTCCCCCTTCCGTGCCGCGGCCTCGTCGGCCCGTTTCTTGGCGTCGGCCTCAAGCCGGGCCACCGTCTCGCGCAGCTGCTTCAGCTCCTGGTCGCGCTTCTGCGCATCTGCGGCGTCTTCCTGATCGGCCTGTTCCCTGTCATCTTGCGCATCTTTCTGGCGCCGCTCGAAGGCACCCAAGCGCTCGGCCAGGTGGGTCACTTGCTTTTGGACGGCGAGGTACTTCTCATCGACAGGAGATGGGAGGGGGTGCGCGAGGGGGGCGTGGGA